AATATGATAATATCCATGATTAACACCGTCCACAATAAAAATGGTTAATCAACCTCTCATAATTACAAAAAAATGAACAAAATGAAAAATTATGATTGGTTGAATGAGGTTTTCACGATTTGTACAAATTGGGTGGTTTTTATTTGAACAATCATATATATATATATATATACACATGAATATATAAGGTCGAGTTCACGTGAGACCAAAGGTTTTTCGTGAGACCCGTAAGACCAATTTATGTTCATTGATTAACTTTATAAGCTAATGATCTAATGGTCTAAAGTTGGACGATGACAATTTTGTGATTATTGAGAAGTCTCGTGGCAATTTTGTGACTATGAATGTTCAGATTGTTGATCTAATCCAAGAGTTGAGAATTGGTCTCACATGATCCCAAGTCTGTATATATATATATATACACATGTATATATATATATATATAGGGTTGGGTTTATGTGAGACCAGTTTGTTTTTGTGAGACCCGTGAGACCACTTTTTTTAACTTGAAACTTCACAGCAAAATGCTGTGAAGGTAAAAAAAATCGAACATTCACAGTAAAAACACTGTGAAGGTTACCTTCATAGCGTTTTGCTATGAAATTTCAAGTGTAAAAAGTTGGTCTCATGAGTTTCACGAAAACACGTTGGTTTCACGTGATCTCAAGTATATATAGGGTTGGGTTCATGTGAGACCAACCTGTTTTCGTAAAACCTGTGAGATATTCATAACGTTTTGCTGTGAAGTTTCAAGTGTAAAAGAACGGTCTCACGGATCTCGTAAAAACAGGTTGATCTCACGTGATCTCAAATCTATATATGTATCTATGTGTATTAATTAGAGATTATAAGACAAAATATCTTGAATTAAAATAGAAATATTACATGCCATAATTAAAGATCACACAATAATTTTTCAATTAAAAAATAATTATCGAGAACTATGACTTTGTAATCAATAATTAATGAAATTATGATACATTTTTAAATCAAAGTTGAAATATCAGTGGCGGCTTAATTTGTAATTCAGTATTAAACTTGATCGAATTCAAGCTGTAATTATAATAATCATATTAAGCTCAAATTATGCCTTATTCAATTCTTATACACCTTTACAATTAATGCAAGAATATTCCCACTTTGTTTCTTCATCTTGTTTCTTAATGATAGTTTTATAAGTCTTATAAATTGGCTTATTAACGACTCAAACAACAATAACACCACCAATATCAAATGGGTTTTCTTCAGCTTCCCACCATACTTTTTTCCGACATAAGCAAGAAAGATCGAGGAACCCTTATCTGGGATTCGGCGAAAAACCAGGTGTTCAAAGCCCTCCAAGAATACGGTTGCTTTGAGGCATCTTTCGATGGGGTTTCACCTGATCTTCGAGAATCAGTGTTTGCTTCCTTGAAGCAGCTGTTCGATCTCCCTCTAGAAACAAAGGTAAGAAACGTTCCTGACAAGATCTTCAATGGCTACATCGGACTAGCTGAAGAGGTTCCGATATACGAGAGCTTGGGAATTGAAGACCCTGAAATCTTTTCTAATATCATGTGGCCTGATGGAAACCGTCAATTTTGGTATGTCACTTAAACTGTTTCTACAATTGTAGTTTTCCATGCAATGTTGAAATTCTTGAGGAATCTTGTGATTCATAGCGTTGTTTAATTGAATGTGTTTGCGTTTGTGGAACATATAACAGTGATAGCATGCAAGCCTATACGAAGATGTTAACAGAGGTTGATGAAATTGTGAGGATGATGGTTCTCGAGAGCTTAAATTTGGAGAAACACATGGATGAACACATGGAACTAACGAGCAGTCTTGTTAGGGTTAATAAATACCGAATGCCCGAGAAAGACGAATCCGATATGGGATTACTTAGTCATGCAGATAAAAATGTAGTGACTATTTTGCATCAAAATGAAGTTGGAGGACTAGAGGTGCAAACAAAAGATGAAGAATGGTTCAAAGTGAAATTTTCCCCAAATAGTTTCGTGGTCATGGCAGGAGAATCCTTCAATGTAAGTTTACAAACTTTTCAAAACTAACCCCCAACTTTAAATATTTACAAACATAACACACACACACACACATATATATATATATATATATATATATATGTATGTGTGTGTGTGTGTATGTGTGTGTGTATAAAGGAACATTCTTTTGAAAATCCATAAAGTTGTGAAAACCTTGAGAATTAATACATCTTGTATTATTTCATATGATTTTTTTCCATTTAAAACTAAGGGGGTGTTTGGGATTGCTTATTTGAAACAACTTATTTTTTTCTACAAAAGTACTTATCAACTTATTATAAGTCATAAAGGTTTAACTTTTTCAAAAATTTCTTATTGCCGGTTTGGCACCGGTATAAATTGTTTATCCAAACACTCAAAAGTGTTTATTACCGGTGTCACACCGGAATAAGTCAATAAGTTGTTTTTATAAGCAATCTCAAACACCTCCTAAGATTTAGAATATTGATTAACATATATATGTTTCACAATGTGAACTTTTTTAACATGTCTATGAAAAAAAATGTACACGTAAAAAAGTTTCACCATGTGAACCGTATATATATATATATATATATGAAGGAAACACATTGTAAAACAAATATATGTTCATCAATACATTAAATGTTAGTCTTAGATGAGAAAAAATCATGTGAAAAATGTCTTAAGATAAAAGTTCTCACGATTATCACAATATATAAAATTCTCAAAGAATTCAACCCAATATATATATATATGCCCATTAGTATATTCATCGGTGTATATATACTATACATGCAAGTATATATGCGTTATACCAAGGGTCTTTGGTCTTCTAGGAGGTCAAAGATTCAAACCTCACCACAGGTAAGGATATTGTGTGAATTTATTTGTTATATTTTCCATATATAAATATTATATGCTTCAAAAAAAAAAAGTATATATGCGTTGTTGCTTATATTGATTGAAATTCATATGGTGTATGTGGATCAACACATCTACTATTTTTACGGTTTTCATAATATTTATCAAACGCGTACAATTATACTCATTTAAGTTTATTTGTAACAAAACCAGTAATCTCATATTCTGCTATGGATAAAAATATATACAGGCTTGGACGAACGGACGAATACATGCAGCAACTCATAGGGTGGTGACGAGCGGAGAGAAAGATAGATTTACAATCGGTGTGTTTTCAGTCCCGAAGTGGGAAAAAACAATAAAAGCCCCCGAAGAAATGGTGGATGAAGAACACCCGTTACTCTTCAACCCTTTTCATTTCGGAGATTTTCTTCAATTCCTCTGTAAGAAAGAAATCGTTAACGATAAATTCGCATTGAAAAAATATTGTGGTGTGTCTGTCTAAATATTTTTTTAAACATATGATCTTATTTGTACATCATGTACATTTTAATTTGAAAATAAAACAGTTTCTTGTATTTTTGTGACGAATTTCCGTCACTAAATTCTTTTGTTTTCAGCATTTCGCTAAACGTTTTGTAAGATGTGTTTTCTATTCCCGTTGTTGTAAATGATTTGATTCGGTGTTTATTGATGCGTTCTGTAAAATTAAGTGCAAGTGTAAACGTATTGTGGCAAAGTGTGTTTTTTTAAGTTATTGATGAGTCAAAAAAGAACCCGATGTTGCTCGCGATACGTTGTTGTCATTTTTCAGTGCACGACAAAAAAATCGAAAATACGAAGTTATAAGATTACAAAAATTATGAGATTACAAAACTTATGGAAGTATAAAAATTCCGAAAAAGTCGCAAGAATATCAAAGAGAGACCTTGAAAGAAAGTTCGGAAATTCACTTCCTTTCTATACTGAATCACGAAAAATTAAATTTCCAATAATGCCCCTTATAACAATTAATTTCGGGGCCAATATAGTCATTTTCAAAGTCAAAATGTTCGTTAGAAGGCAAAATAACTACAATTTAGTCCTTGGACAGGCCATTTTCGATCCGTCATTAAACAAACAAATGAAACATTGATCGGGCTTTATTTCATCGTTACTCCTTCAGTCCTTATTAGGATCGGTTTTTAATCAGGCTTTGTCATGAAAATTGGGTCTCGTTGATCCTTTCGACCTAGATTATCCTCTACCTTTTCCTTAGTGTAACGGGTCCCAATCAAATTGGCTCGAGTTGTTCCTCGGTCTCAATTAGAAATGACCAAAAATCAGTCTTACACTTATAAACGGACCTAGAGGGGTGGTTAGGTGGCACGTGCCACCATATTGTTCCTCCGTGATAAGGTAAAAAAAAATTAGGTTAGTGAAAAGTGCAACCATTTTATATGGTGCCATCATATCTAAACATTCTTGGGTCCGTCCCTGCTGGGTTGGTCCAATCTAGAATCAGTCTCGGGCCCAAGTGATTGGAGTATTACTGACAAAAAAGCCCAGAACTTATATCAGGCCCAATAATTGGGTCTGTTAGCTTTTGGGCCGGTCTCAAATTCGTCCGAGGTCCGGCCCGGTTTTACAAAAATATGTTTCTTTACATAGAATTATTATACAGTTTTTTTTATATAATTTATTATTTTTGAAATAAAGAATTGGAATACACTTTAGTATCACATTAATTGAAATAATATTTAATAAAAATTGTATTATATTTTATTAAAATCTTGAAAATAAGGGTCCCTATGCATGACCGATCTCCGGTCCGGTCTCGGTCCCGGTCCCGATTGCATTTACGCATCTCTAAACCATTTGCAAACGTTCAAACTTGTCTTCTTATTAATGACGGGAACTCGACAATACAAAAACAAACACAAAACTGAATGAAATCAACAAGAAAATGATGACGCAAACATGACTGGTGTAAATACAGACAAAAAAGATTCAACATCTCACACAAATACGGGGTCTAGGGCCAACACATACTGAAATAGTATCTTAAGTACCGCAATAAGTCTTGAGAGCGGATTGGGCTCGTTGGCCGGCCTCGGTGTAGTAAAATTGAAGGAAGTCGACATGATCGAACGGTTTGAAAAGTAACGGGTGTTGTTCATCCACAACCTCCTCCGGAGCCTTGATCACGTACCCAGCCTTCGGTATCGAAAACAATCCGAGAGAATACCTTGCCTTCTCTCCGCTCATCATCACCCGATGATACGGCGAATGCAGTCGCCCATTCGTCCATGCCTACAATCGTAAGTTTCCGAACATTCATTACCGTAATCCCGAAAGGGGTTGTTTTATATATCATTTGTAACGATAATTAAACGCGACGCTTTACAGATAACTTTTGGTGACGGGTTTTTGCGTCGTTAAAAACTTACATAAAAGGAATCACCAATCATGACTATGAAAGAGTTGGGTGATGGTTGAACCTTGATCCAATCTCCAGATTTGGTTTGTACCTCCAATCCATCGACTTGATTTTGATGTAAAATTGTGAGTGTGTTCTTGTCGGTATGAGCGTTGAGTCCGAGTTCGGGCTCGTTTGTTTCGGGTCCTTTGTATTTCATTACCCGAAGCAGATAATTGGTCGAACCCATGTGTTCGACCATGTATTTCTCCAATCCCAGACTCTCCAACACCATCATCCTCACCATTTGATCCAGTTTCGATAGGTTCTCCGAGAACTCTTGTATGGTCGTGCTGCCAAAACAACAGATGTCGTAAAAGCGAAAGCATTTGAGTCCTTTATCAGCTAGACGCAGACCATCAATGTATTATATATATATATATAGAGAGAGAGAGAGAGAAAGGATGATGCGAGAAGTTAAACATTTTGTAAGAAACCAAGAAGTTCCAATATCATATATGATTACACTCATTTTGGGTGTGTTTAATCATATATGATTAAGTGTATATGTGTTGTCAATGCAACATGTGTTTAATCATATATGATTAAACTTGCATATCATGTAATCACATATGATATTGAAACTTCTCACCTTCTGGTAAAATGTTTAGCTTCTCGTTTGAACCTCCCTTATATGCATATTACCCTTTTAGCTTATTTAAAAAATATTCTTAAATATCTCAAACAAGTGGTTCACACTGAATCTCACGGTTACCCAAAACTAATAAGTTATCCCTTGAATAGACCCCTATATATACATATATACGGCGACAGTTCAAATAAGAAAGCTAAATATGGTAAGAAGGTAAGAAATGAAGGTTAAGTGAAGGTTGATACGTCAACTCATTGATAACATCAGAAAAAGTTTATTTGAAGATGCATATGTGAATTATGGGGTCTAACATTATTCATATTGGTTCACATATGTCATATGAATCTTCAAATTAATGAAGTCTTTTAATGATTCACATATGAATCTTTTTTTTCTTACTTTCTCAGGATATTTAACCTGCTTATCTAAACTTCCATATATGTATATGTATATGTATATGTATATGTATATGTATATGTATATGTATATGTATATGTATATGTATATGTATATGTATATGTATATGTATACACACATATGGGTTTTACGTAGTCTCACATAAAGATGTAATCAAAGAAGTAAATTAGATACCAGAATTTGGGGTTGCCTTCGGGCCACAAGATTTTGGTGAAGCTTTCGGCTTTTTCAAGAACGGGCGCATCGTCAATGCCCATGCTCTCGTAGAGCGGCACCATCGGGTACTGGCCGACGTAGCCATGAAAAGGCTTCAACGACCGGTTTTTGAGTTTCGTCTGCAAAGGGAGATCGAAAAGTAGTTGTAACGAATCGAAAATGGACGTTTGGAGCTCCGGTGAGATGTCAGCCAATGATGCTTCGAAGCAACCGAATTCTTCGAGAGCTTCATGGACTCGGGATTTCGTTAGATCCCAACCAAGAGCGTTTGTGTTTGGATCAACATTAGAGAAATCGATAAACGGGAGTCTTAGTGAAGCCTCCGAGCCCATAACTGGTTGGTTCAAACACGAATGGATTTTATGATCGATTTATATAAACGACTGACGTTGATTCCCTCCAAAAATTCGTATTCGAACTCGAGATCTCTAGACGAATAAATACGTCTAAAATTGTCAATAATTGATCATAAATGTCGTTTTCTTGATCATTTTGACACAAAATTAGTTTAAGGTTTCGTTATCATTTGATTCAAATTATTATGTATATATTGTGTATCAACCAACTGTATTTGATACTAACTTGTACAAACAAACAATTTTTCGGTTGATATACGTTGATACTGATTTTGCACCAACTTCAATTTATATATATATATATATATATATATATATATACACACACACACACACACACACACATATATATATATATACTATATTATAAAACATTTGACAAAAACTCTTAAAAATCATTTTTTATGCATGAAGTACTGTTTATTGATACATATTAATTAAAATTCAAGATTACAAGTAAATTGTGCGTAAGTACAACTTATTAAAGCTSGATGTTTGAATTCGTATAACTAACTGCAAATAAATATAATCGAGAGAATAAACATCTCATTTTAAATATAAAAAAATTTAAAATATAATTAGGATAATCATTAAATTATAACAAAATACTTATTATTACTTTATAAAAAATATATTAAACAAAAAATAAAAAAATGAATTAAAGAATTACATAAAAAAAGAAATTTTAAATAGTTAATTTGGTACTAATATTAAAAAAAAATTCAATTATTTATGATGTCTTCATATTTATATCTTATTTAAAAATAAAAACATTATCGTTCTTAGAATCATATAAAATCGTATTATAACATCGACTGAGACAAAAAAGAAACGCAAAACATAATAATCGAGATGTATCTCGCTGCATTGTGCGAGTACCTTTCTAGTATTATCTTAACATAAAAACATTTATATTTGAAACTTAAGACCAGTCTGTTTTCGTGAAACACGTGAGACAACAATTTTACACTTGAAACTTCACAACAAAATGTTGTGAATGTAAATAAAATTCAAACCTTCACAGCAAAGACATTTCACAAGGTTACCTTTACAGTGTTTTGCTATGAAGTTTCAAGTGTAAAATGTTATCTTACTTGTCTCACGAAAACAACCTTGTCTATATACATATATAAATCACAAGTGGTCCTATATTAGTGGTCCAAAACATCGTCAACGTTGATGCTGACATAACCCTTGGGATTAGTTGAACGATAATTACTCAGTTATTTATTATGAGATGAAACCAAATATTTTAAGTTATTTATTATATAATTTATTTAATCAAAGATAAAATGTCATGATTATATTTTTCTTGATTATAATATAATTATTAAATAAATATGGTGGTCCTTCACCTTGTTAATAAATATTACAATTATAAGAAATTTAGGGTGTTTTCGACAATTGTTGAATGGTTTGGTACAAAATGATTAATAAGTCAGAATCATTAAGAGGCTCTCATTAAATAATGCAAAATAAAATATAATTGTTTGACAATTATTACAATGAAATTAGAGTGTTAAATGATTATACAAAATCATTAAGAGGGTTTTAGAATTATTAAGAGGCATACAAGATTCGCCTCTTGATGATTCACACGATGTTGCCTCTTAATGAAACTATTAAGAGGTAAACAAACAACCCTTATTTATGTCTTTCTAATTAATTATTTAACGTTTATAAAAAACAATCCAACGTGCGCAATGGTTAGTTGTGGTAATACCACTTTAGGATTTGATAGGTGATGGAATTCCACCATGAAACAAGTTCTCAAGTTGTGCATGGTTGTTTTATGGGCCATTTACCATAAACTTACCCGGTAAGTATTTAACGGTAAAATTCAATACTATTGTTAACTTACCGGGTAAGATTTTAGTTAATAAAAATGACTTTCTATGCAACAATTTACCCGGTAAGAGCTGACCGTGGTAAGAGTCATTGTTCTCACTTACCGGGTAAGACTCTCAGTCTTTACCTCGTTCTTACCGGGTAAGATTTTTGGTCATTATCATATTCATCCGGTAAGGTAATATAACTTGGTAAGCGCTTACCCAATTAAGCATTTGGTAAACGGCTCCTTAGTTGTAACAATTGACCATGTTGTGAGTTAAAAAATTGGACAACAAAAAGGGTTTTTATTCGGTTCAGAATCAACATCTTTCGGTTCGTGTTCAACACGTGGTGTTGTGGTGGTGCGTGGTTCATGGCAGCAAGCTATTGGACTAACTCGTCCATCTACTGGCATAACTGACGATTTCATTTCCTTGAATCACATTTTTTAACTGGGTTCGCACGCACATCCCTCATCCCTGGGTGTCGTGGCACCAGTTGCGGATTCAGGAATTTTGTTCAATGAGATTACTTTTAAGGTAGATTAAAAGCCTGCAAAATCGTCCGATGTGTTTTTAACCTAATTACAATGTTTTGAGGGATTTTAAAGTTTTTTGGTTGATTTCGAGGGATTTTTTAATGTTTTTGTTGATTTCAAATAACGTTGTTGGTTTTTTTGATTGATTTCAATAGATTTTTTTGGTTAGAGTAACAGTTTCGATTGGGTTGGGGGACCGCATAAAAATGAAATTTGGGGGGTGGGGGGGAGTGAAAGGTAAATCATGTAAAACCTAAATTTTAACTTAAGAATTTTTTTTTGAGTTTTTGACTGGGGTCCCTTCCCCCCCCTCCTCCTTTTTGGTATTGCATCCGCCCCTGGCGCCTGCCGCATGGTCGGTTTGAATCTGATACCAATCTGATGCAATGTGAGCGAGGAACGCATGCTTAATAGTCAATTCACAGTTTGTCGTTTCTAACGGATTACCAATCTCATGCAATGTTCAAGGATGAAATAACAATAAATTACAAACTGTACAAAAAAATAACAATTTTTAAACCACAAGGATAAAAATGAAAATTATTAACAAACCACAGACAAAACTTAGACGATTGAAGAAATTTTTTAAACAACATTAAATAATAAGTTTGATGATATATTTAACGCCCATTGACTTATTTTATTCTATTTGTATTATACATACAACACAAAACAACAGGTAGGCCGGTCGAATCAGTGGTCAGCGACCGGGTCGACCATAACACCACAATAAGATTCGACGCAACATTTGGATGCCTTTCCCTCCTCCGTAAGCACATACTTCAAGAAATCCAAATGATTAAAAGGCCTAAACCGCAAATAATGTTGATCATCGTCAACTAGTTTATCAGGCACCTCCACTGTCGCCCTCATGAACGAAAATATCCCGAGTGAATACCTAACGACTTCTTTCGGGTGCGCTCTCATCACCACTTGGTGCACCGGTGCGTAGATCCTCCCATTGCTCCATGCCTATGGAAGAAAATCAATCAACATATGTCAATGACCAAATGATATTTGAGTTATCGGTAGATCCACTGCAAGAAAATTGATTTTATAGGATGCCTACAATCTATAAGCATCTCAAAAAGATGTTTTATAAGACCAAACCAAAAAGCATCGTATCTAAAAGTGTTACAATAAGTTTATAAGACGTTTTTAAAAATTTTAACAAGTTTTTCATGACGTTTTTAAAATACAGTGTCGTATTAACTATTTTATATGACACTATTTTAAAACTGTCATATAAGCACAAATATCCTATAAAAAGATGGATTCATAGGATACTTCTCAAAAAGATCATAAAAAGTAGCTAACAAGACACTTTATTTAAAAGTGTCCTAAAAACTTGTTAAAACGTCTAAAAGCGTCCTAAAAACATATTGTAACGCTTTTATATTAGCCACTTTATAATTCAGTCCTACAAACTTAAGTTCTATAAAGTATTCTATTAAGACGCTTAAACGTCTTACAAAGCCAATTTTGTTGTTGTGATCCCAAACTTCTTAGAGACCGAAACATGCAAGTAAGACATATTACCATGAAGGGTTCTCCCGCTACAACCACAAACGTCGATGGTGAGGGTTCGTGGTGGATCCACTCTCCGTTTCTCATCTTTATCTCTAACCCTTTGACATTATTGTCGTCTAAAATAGCCAAGAAACTTTTATCCGAGTGAGGGGGAAGGCCAACTTCGACTTCCTTCTCAATGGGTGCTCGATATTTCATAAATCTAGCCAAGTACAATGAGGATTCTATCATATCGTCACATTGCTTGGCGTCGACCCCATAGCTATCAAACACCATTCTCATCACACAATGATCGATTTCAGATAACAGTTTCATGTACTCGAATGCGCTTTCACTGTATCGCCAATGAAAACAAAAGGGTAAGTTCTGTTGCGACGGGAAAACCGTCTATCACTATATTTTATAATTTTTTGAATATATATATATATATATATACAGAGAGAGAGAGAGACATATATGAATATGGAGGATTAAACGAGAACATTATCAAAATAAAAGAACATGAGGACGGTCAAACCATATAGCATTGAAATCACATATGATATTACACATGAGTTTAGTGTAAAATCATATGTGATTTTGTCACCCCGTATTCTACTATTTGGTTAGTATTCTTGTTTGAACCTTATATATACATGTGATATGCCTTTTATTTTACGAAAAAGCGAGAATACCCTTTTATTATAGTAAATTACATGTGATATTATAGTTCATCACATATGATACACTTGTGATACTAAATAAGATTAGTAAACGACCTTTGGCGCAAACTAGATTGTGGGCCACTGGCCCAATCACGTGTATTATTACATGTGATAAGGTGTTCTCGATGGTAATACTATAATCCATCATGTATGATACACATGTGATGCAAAATTAGAAACACATATGATCATTGGTGCGACTAGGTTGCCATTAAGTGATGTATTCACACCATCAGGACCCCTCACGTGTATTATTACATGTTATAAGGGTGTCATTCTGTTTTCGTAAAATGAAGATGCTTTCGTTTGAATCTCCACCAAAAATATATATATATATATATATATATATATATTTATATATATATAGACTAAAAGATGGAACATGATTGGTTGATGTTGGTTA